CCCCAAAACCCCAAAACCCCATGATTAGTAATAAGACTCTACTAATATGAAACAAAGTTTATAATAATGTAGATAAATATTTAATCTTGAGATTTGATCACTGATTTTATTGCAGCTGATGCTGTTTCTTGCATTAAATGGTCTTTTGTTTTTACAAAGAGTATATTGAGTTAGTGATAGATTGTATTTTCTCTTCCTCATCTACAACATATAGATAGCTTGTAGATGGACATTGAGATATTGGGCCTCCTTTGCCACATTAAATTGTGTGATTTTAATTCATTCTTTGCATTGAAAGTCTTTTTTCAAATTTCGCTTTATTATTCACTTGCACCTATTGAGATTATAATTGATTTGCTTGTAGCTATTAAGCATTTTAGGATTGGATTAGTTTATTGCTACTTTGCATCTCAATAATGTTTGTTTTATTAGAAGTGGCAGCTAGAGACTATCTAGCTGTACACTATGCAGTTAAATTATTTGTTGAAGAGTTTTATATCTATAGCTAATGAGTGGGGAATGAGGAATTATCTCTAGCAGAATGAGTCTTAAGACTAAACATTGAGGACTAGTTTAACTAAGAAGTGCCTAAGTAAGTACTTGAGTTGCATTTATTAAGGGACATCTGGAGCTATGCAATCTAAGGTTATACTAATTTCTTAGTTAATTTTGTGTTTAATATGCTTAGAATTCTCTTTTTTGTGGCATCTATAGCCTAGGTATTTAGTATGGGTACCTTTGGTTTCTTTTTCTGGCTATTTTTAATTGTTTGCTTAGATACCTGCATAATTTAACTCTGTGAATTGGACGTGTTTTACAAATTGAATGTGTTAGAGTTGTTAAGCCCAAAGTTACATTGTGTTTAATTATTATTGGGCTGCACTCTTTATGATTGGTTTGAAGATTAGTATGTAAAATCAGCTGATGCTAATATACTTGTTTCGTTGCATAAGGGATTTGCAGCGTTTTAGAGTTTCTTTTTGAGGATTTATTTATTCTTTTAACTAAAGTCTCGGCCCTTTACCATTTTTGAAGCAATTTGATTTATTATTGCTTTTCTTTAATTTAATCCTTACATGTTCATTAGGCTCTCGACAGATTTAGATTTTTTACTCATCTCTAATTTATTTTGCATCATTATTATCATCTCTTTTGTATTATCTGTATTGACTTTTTTGACTTCTCGACAGCTGTTAAGTTCAGTAGATGATTCAGTCTTGTCCTTAAATATAATTACGTTTTAGGACTAGGAGACCTAAAGCTTCTGTTATTATTGAGATAATCCTCTCGACTAAGTATTCATTTGAGTAGTAATAGACGAAGCTAAGTTTGAACTGTTACTCTATTAGGAACTATTATTCTTTTGCAAGCTCTATCTTCTAGAGGGCTATTAATTAGGCAGACAAAAATTCATTGTCTAGTTGATATTGCTAAAACCATTTACTGTACTCTAGGATACCATTTGATTTATTAAGGTTTTAGTACATAGTTACTTCCCAAGGTTGGATTATATGTTGAGTAAATTATTGAGTGAGTGGCTTTAAGATAGTAGAGATTGCACCAACTCCTTTTTCTTTGAAGTTTATATATTGCAAGTTTTGTCATTCATTACTAAAAATTCTACTCCCTTAGTGATTACTTTATTCTACGAAAGATGAAGCAAATCATTTATCTGATGCTCTTTTGCTTTTTTGCATTTCTTACCTTTGCTATTGTTATTACTGCTATGAAATACAATCTCACTTTTTATATCATTGTTGACTTATTATTTCCCAGGAGATATCGATTAAGATATTGTCACTTTAAGTTTAGAAGGGTTTTCAGTAGGTACTTACATACCAAAATACTCATTCTTAGGATTAAACAAGAAAGCTTAATGGTTGCTTGAAAAGCTTTTCTAGCTATTTTAAATGGCAAGTTTCTGCTTAAGAATTGGGTCTTGGGATCTTGAAATATTTTTGCTATTGTTTTATTGAATATTATTCAAGTTGGCAATATTGGAGGCAGTTGAATACGCCGAAGATAGAGCCATCTTATCTTAAGTCTTTTTACTGACTGCTTTCTATTTCACCATCTAATACTCCTAAGGTTGTGATAGCAGAATCTCATGCTAGCTAGGGTCTAGATTTTCAAGGTTTTCCTTACTACTGCAATTAGTAAAATTCAAGATACTATTGCATAAATTATTTCCCTTATAATTACTTAATCTTCGCACTTCATTGACAGAATCCTTAATTGCCTTACTTTTTTTGACGTTTATCAGATTTTTGCTAGAATTGCATTTAAGTTTTGGCTATTAAATGAGACCATTTGCGAGAGTTTTATTGACACTCATTAGGTTGATTTTGGATTTATCTTTTCCATTTATATCAGATTACCGAGTAGTTTTTATTCCTAGTTACTAGGGAAACTCCATCAAGTTGACTTTAATAGGATTTGAAGCTACTTTCGAAGTTTACCTCCTTTATGTTAATGCTTAGAGAGTTTTCTCATCAAATACATCAGTGCTCTTAGATGAGCTATGATTTTGAGATAAATCCAAAGTCAAGGCAATAGCAGAAATCTAATTTATATTTTGAGAAGACTAGTTTACTTAAATTTGAGAAATTTAGTTTTCTTTTGCTGAAGACGGAGACCCTTTCGTGAAGCATTACTTGTAAAATGTAAATAAGATCTTGAAAGGTTTCTCGATTTCTTTATAATCTAAAGTTGTCATATCTTTTAAATTTTAGTTCCAAACTGGGATAATATTAACCATTTTTCTTGCACATACCACGCAAGCAAGTCCAACTTATGAGCATTTATATTTTTTAAGCTCATACAAGTGAGTACTTAGGTCAGCAAAAAACTCAGCATATTTCCTCAAATTTTGTAAAGTCTTTGAGTTAATTGGCCTCTTCTCTCGAATTTGTAATGAGCTTTCTGTCTTAAGTTTATTCTTATTTTGGATTTTGAGCTGAACATTATCGCTTTACTCAAATACGCAGCCTTGAGATGTAATTGAGTAAACAAAATGCAGAGGAGTAATTACAATCAAATCCCAGTTTAAACTGAATAATACCTCAGTTTCTAACTTGAGAACATCTGCATGGTTTATAGAAGCAATCTTCTTAAGAATCTTACTCATATCATTGATAAATGGTATTCTGTCATCTAATTCATCATATTTCGAAGCTAGAAGAAGGCAAGTTACTGCCAACACCCTCAGTTAGTTATCAGTTTTTAACTTATTATCTTTAGTTCTATTTAATCCATTTTAATACGCTCTCTCTAAATAAGCTATAGCAATATGGATGGTCAAGTTTGATTGATAAAATCTTTAGCCGATTTCAAAAAGCCAATCAATTAAGACCTTTTTGTAGTTGATAATATCTGGGTGGATTTGGGATTCATTATATTTAACATGAGTGAAAAACTACTCATCCTAAATAAGGGTTTGCAAAAGCTCAGCGGGAGAGACATCAGCATCGTGTTTCAAGTCATCTTATCGAAGAACTGTGATTTATTCTTATTCCTATAAATTGTTGATAAAACTGAGACTTATGAATTTTATTCTCTTACTTTTAACTATAAAAGAAGTCCACAATCTGAGCAATGCTAAAAATTCTTGTATTTTATGATCTTTTCATGCGGACATGACTTGACAACTGTCTTAAACTAAATGTTAGGTTTTTGGACTAAGGTTTGTAGGGGCTGTGAATTCAAAATCTATAAGATATGACTCAGTTTCTATGGCATAGCTTACATTTGTATTACTGACTAAAACAGCTGCCATTCTTTTAATTTAATTTTTGATCTGTTAATAAATTGAATTTAACAGATAATTACAAAGAAGCATACTTTATTCTTCACAAATGCTTTCATAGGGGTTTTGGGGTTTTGGGG